TATAAGTCCAATAAATGGGTTTTTAGGCTTATATTCAAATTTTTCATTTGTTTTCAGTGGAATTAACCAGCCACTCTTTGATTGGATGTAAGACTCACTCCATGAGCCAGACACTGCTAAATTGGTCAAGAACCTGACACTACATAGATAAGCCACGGGTTTAGGGGGAAACCTACTAGCATTTTTCTGCTAAAGGAATATAGCAATAAAATTATTCTGATGAGAAAGCATTATACCTACAGATCAGTGCCTAATTCAACCTACATCAGAGAAACTTTTTCTTGCAGTAAATGGGAATTAATGCAGGGATCCACAACTGGACAATGGGCAAAAAGTAAGAGACTTTCGACTAAATCCCAGCACTGGGAAGAGGAAGTGGATAGAAAGCCCCATCCATAACCAAGAAGCTACTGTAATGGATTCCTGCTGGGAAAGGGAAAATTAGTTTTCTCTGATAGAGTGTCACTGGGTATATTAGCCACAATTCAGGGCAGACCAGTTAGCCAACACAAATCAAAGTATTTTTGTGGGCTTTTCATTTTCTTTGGTTTTGCTTTGCTACTCTTTTTGTCTTATAGTTTCTTATTTGATTTAATTGATTTTTTGTTTTTGTTTAATGTTTGTTTGGATGATGGACCTATAATTTTATTAGCATTTAGTACAAGCACAGCCACTTTTGTTTACATACTATCTACAATTGCTTCCCTACTCTATAGCCAGCATTGGCCAGATATGGCAAAGTTCTGGAGCCTCCAAAGTATAAAATGTTTACTATATGATGTTTCTATTTTTTAAAGTTAACTCATCTCCGATTTGTATTCACATAGCCAAGTTCTCTGTATACTGTTAGAACTGTCATTTCTAACTTCCCCAAACTGAATTTTATTTCATCTCACCCAAACATTCCCATTCTATATTTCTTATAATAAAGTGGCTGCATTCATTTGGTCAGGAAAATATGAAATCTGGCCATCAGAAACCTCCCTCTCTCACATCTCCCACCTCTAATAAAGAAGACCTAATGCTTTTGTGTCTCCTTTCTTCTTTCCACTGCCCTAACTCAGATTACAATTTCTTTGTGTTCAGATTATAAAACTGTTTTTTCTCCTTCCTCCTCTCTTCTTTGAACTATAGACTAAATACAGCATCTTTTATATAAGGCTGACCCCATAGCACTTCTGTACTCTAAATATTGCTTTCTCAGCAATGGCAGGATAAAAATTCACACATTCAAAACTCATCAATTGGGTAGTCAATTGTTTTTCAGGCCTGGTCTCTGTCTATTTCCAATGTAATCTGCTATTCCTATTTCAATTTTATGTTCCAGTAACAAATTATCATTTCTTGGACCTTTGCTCATACTAGGCTATGTGCTTGAAACTAGCTTTCCCCATTTCCCCTTTTGTTCAACTTTAGATCTGTGACGACAAATTTTAAGTGTCAGACAGACTGGATTAAGAAATTTCTAGAGACATTGAGCCTGAGAGTGAAGGTGTTACCAGAAGAGGTTATCATGTGATTCTAAGTGGACTGCACAGGGAAGATCTAGCCTCAATGTGGGAAAACCCATCTATCTGATCTGCTGGGCCATGGAAAAACAGAAAACCAGTTTCTGGACTAAAATTTGCTTCTGATGCTTTGGACATCAGGGCTGTAGGCCCACTGAGTACTGCACTCTTTTAATTACACCAGAGTATCGTCCACACCAGAATGCCTGTATCTGTATCTGTATCTGTATCTGTATCTGTATCTGTATCTGTA